ATTATTATTATTATTATTATTATTATTTTAGGGTTTGCTCTCTGTAGCTTTTGTTGTGCAGTTTTAAATATTGGATTGCTTTTTGTTTTCGCTACCACAGACGTAAATGAATGTCTGCACATAGCGAGTCTTTGTGAAAATGGAGAGTGCATCAACAACGATGGAAGTTATCGGTGCAAATGCAAGATGGGATATAAGCTTGATGAAACTGGAAAGAAGTGTGTCGGTGAGTGCCATAGCACGCAGTACGTCAGCACTGAGCACTGCACTGGTATCACAGAGCTCATGGTTCAAATCCCGTACAGCCCTGAATTGTTTTTCTGGCCTTATTTTCACTACTGTTGAAGTAGTATTCATTTGCTGAGAAAATCGCTTTCATATTCAGAAGGACCAACTGGGCTGCTAAGTGATGGATTATAAGAAACCAGCCTTGTTGAGGTTGATGACGACAATAATCAAAAATGACAAATGAGAATGGTTAAAGTGATAACGGTGATGACGACCATGGCGATAAATGGGGCTCAACACTCAAAGCAGCCACTGTTGCTCCAAAGTAGCTGGCCACAGATGTACTTCTCAAGAGAGAACTGCGTCATTGAGCAAATCGCCTGATCAAACTAGTTTTATCCGGCACTAATTCGATGAAAGGTTTTTTTTTCTGAAAAGTTATGTAGAACTCTTATAAAGACTACTAGTTTGTTTTCAAATAATCCGTTCTTTCAGGCCTGTTTTGAAAAGTCCAATCAACGAGCTCTTTTTTATCGTTTTGTTTTTTATCTCTGTATTAGATGAAGATGAATGTGAGACGCCCGGTGTATGTGGTAATGGTCTTTGCGTCAATACAGAAGGTTCTTACACATGTAATTGTCCAAAGGGCTATGCCGCAGGCCGCCTTTCCCCGCGTTGTGCTGGTAAGAACTGGGTTCCAGGTTACGTGAAATACCTCATCGATAAAATAGTAATTTAGTTACTTATAACGTATTTCTGTCCTTGCTGCATTTACCATGCATTTTCTTGGTTGTCTTTGAACGAAAAATCTTTACTATAACTTTAAAATCTGCTTTTATTCCAAAGATATCAATGAGTGTGTAAAAAGCAGCGATCTTTGCGCGTTCCGTTGTGTGAATCAGCCGGGAAGCTACCGATGTATCTGTCCCCGTGGATTCGACTTGGCTCCTGACAAGATTCATTGCAGAGGTAAGGGAGAGCGTTATCAATGGCTTATATTACATATGTGTAGGTCTAGGCGAGAAGGGCTGGGTAAAATTGAAGCTTATTTGTGTCTCCTTGGAAAAATAAGATTCAACTACCAAAACAATACGGAAAAAACCTCTTCCTCCAGCTGTCTTTGTTTTTCTTTAACAAGTCGCAAGTAGATTTGTTTCCAGTGGAAGTTCAAGGTTAAAAACGAGATTTGTTTTTATCCTTTGATCCAGCGAACTCAGTTCTCCAAATATGCTTAGTATGGCTAATTTCTTTCACTATTTCATAATGAAATCTCGGCTTAAAACATGCTCAGAGATCTTTTCTCATACAAAACCATGAGCGTTCACCAAGAAAATTGGAGACAATTGTAAATAATCAAAAGAAAAATAGAAGAACAAGGAGCTGTTGCATAATTTTTCTAACCTGTTTTTCTCTTTCCCCGCAGATATCAATGAATGCAGAGAAAACACTAGATTGTGTCCCTTCGTTTGTAAGAATTTTATTGGCGGTTTTAGGTGCAGGTGTCCCGCTGGCTTCAGGGGAAATGGTCGGATATGTGAAGGTTGGCTGAATTGTTACATTGATAAATAATTGATAGGTTATCTGTGACATGACTTGCAGACCGCAATAAAAGTCTCGTCTAAATGAAGAGAACTGACTGCTGCAAATCTGCGGAACTCGTGTATCGATGTTGCAGCGCCTAAAAACTAGGTTTAATTCAAGATGAATTGTATTCTTCGGCTACCTGAGATTTCAGGGGGTTAGACCCAATCATCAAGGAGACAAAGCGACGTCAAATATTTGACAAGTATTTTCATTCCCTAGATATCAACGAATGTCAAGAAAAGTCGGATATTTGTCAGAATGGCGCGTGCAGAAACCTTGCGGGAACTTATATCTGCGACTGCGACTCGGGGTATCAACGGAGTGAGGATGGAACAGAGTGTGAAGGTAAAATCAGTAATTGTGGTTTAAAAAAAGCCGATTGGATTCAGTAGCGATGGACCGACATCTCATACTGGGAATCGGTTTGTCTTTTTTTTTTTTTTGTCTGCTTGCTAGCTAGCTATATTTTTACCAAGTTCAGAAACTTTTCTGAACAGTTATTTGCTGTGTGATACTGACAGACAACATACTGAGCCGCCCCCTACCCCCTCGCCCGCGGTTTAGTACAGCTGATGAGTGAGTACTTCATACCCTTTTAGATACACGAAAGGGACTTTGCTTCGCTGTTGTAAGGAACAACATGTGTGAAGCTGTCGCGAAGGAAATGATGCAGGTCCGAAAGAAGGAATGCTGTTGTACAGCCGGGAAGGCCTGGGGCACAAACTGCCAGTTGTGTCCGAGAAAGAAAACTGGTAAGGTTTTTTCTTTTGGTATCTTTATTTCAACCTTTCGTTTTCTGTTGTTCCTGAAAATGGATTAATCTTTTGCTTTGTTTCATAGCTGAATATGGTAAACTTTGCAAAACTATGGCACAAAAAAAAGACAATATGACACGTAAGTTTTTAAGTCTTAAGTTTTTTACGATGACTGTCAACGGTGGTAATGAGATTTTCCTTTCTCTTTTGTTCGTTTGTTTTATTATAATTTGTTCTGTTTTACTCTTTTGCTCCTCAAGCCAATTCTTTTATTTTGCTCTGAACTTCTTCCTCTAGAAGGAATACGTGCGGCGGTTATTAGCCGCGAAAAAAAAATCTAGAGGGGCTTTCAACTGTGCTTTTGGCTGAACTGATACAGCTTACAAGAAGACAGGATTTTTCGACTCTGCGTAGAGAGTTTCTAAAACAGAGGTTTCTCTGACGATAATAATAATAATAATATTAATAATAGTAATAGTTTATTTAAAGTCGATACTCTAAGAAGAGGTTGCCCAATCATCTGAGCCGGTGGTTCATATTTAAAACACTCAACTCCAGATCCAATCGGAATTTGGAATATTGGTTTTTGCGGAGGGAGGAAAACTGGAGGACCCGGAGAGAAATCCTTGGAGCAAGAACGAGAACCAACATCAAACTCGACCCACGTGTGACGCCAGATACGAGAATCGAACCCGGACTACAGTGGTGGGACCGTGGGAGGCGAGCGCCCTCACTACTGCGCCATTCCTGCTCCCCAAAACGATGGGCTAACGCTCGAAACGTCAGCTTAAGAAACTTTCCTTGGTGGCTGATTTTCCTTCTTAACTCAGTTGATAAAACCAAAATATGTTGTAACACTCCCTGCCAACACAGCACCACAGCTTCTTTAGAAACTCACCTCCTCTACGCGTGGGAGCATTTGCCAACAAGTAAAGAAGTCAAACGCATGTGTATACATTCGAACCTCGAATGATACATTGATTTTAAAACTCGTTTTATTTTTTTTATGTTATCATTTCATAGATATATGTGAGATGATCTCAAGCTTGTGTCAGAATGGCAAGTGCATGAATATTCGTGGGGGATACCGCTGCATGTGTAACGTGGGCTACAAACTGACCATGGATGCGAAGCGATGCTTAGGTAAGGGAAGGTCGTTTTCGTGCTTCGTCAGCAGCTTCTGTTAGTTTCCAGTGAAAAGTACAATGTGATGTGTGAAATGTGAAGCTTGAAGTGCTACGTGTGAAATGTGGAGCGTGAAATGTGAGACGTGACTTCCTTTTCATATTAGCCGTCACCATTACTACAATTACCTCCTATTAAAGCCTCATTTACATGACGCGTTTTTGGGCTAAGCTATTTGTGTGTTCGGCTTCTTCTCATCGCTTTAAGTGCTATCGCGTTTCAATCAACAGATATCGATGAGTGCGCTAAAGATTCCAGTATTTGTCAGTTTACTTGTGCAAATACTGATGGTTCCTACAAATGCAGCTGTCCTATTGGATATGTGCTGCGAGCAGATCAAAAAACATGTACAGGTGAGTAATACAAACAGTACTCATGTAGATTTGCTTCACCTGTCACAGTAAGGCGGTGAGTTAGAGTATCCTATCCACCTAAACTGTAGTTGAGGAAATAATCGTCAACCATATAAAAAGTGTTACCTTAGAAGAGAGGTTTACTTCGGGCACGCATGATGCAAATTCTAGAGAATTTAGAGTTCTAATGCTCGTCCTATATGCTTTTTCCCATCAGATGAAAATGAATGCACAACGGGTCGACATAACTGTCAGCACAGCTGCACCAATGTTCCCGGCAGCTTCCGCTGTGGCTGTCCTGATGGATACATGAGAAATGGAATCACGTGTGTTGGTGAGATAAATATGCACGAGTTTATCTTGTTCCATTTCTTTTGATACTCGCTCTTCCTTGCCATATTACGACTGCTATATTTTGAATTTTTTTTTTATTTCCCGCCTCAAGTAACACATTGTTGTTACCGATATGTGTTACTAATGTTCTGATATCATTATTCTAAGTAAAAAGCCTAGCGGGGGTGGGGAGGGGTGGGGCGTAGGTGTATATGGTGCTCTGGGGTATGCAAAATCGCGCGATTTGCTTTAACCTTTTGTTTTCGTAGACAAAGACGAATGTATGACTGATAACGGCATCTGCGGATTTGGAATGTGTGAGAACTTGCCGGGATCTTACAAATGCGTGTGTAACCGTGGTTACACTTACGACGATAAAACAAAGAAATGCGTTGGTAGGTAAACATTGATCGTTACTTCGATGAGGTTACAGTCGTCCAAGAAAACCGATGTACGTATTATGGATGGGGTGATTTAATGACAAATAAATGCGCTTTGGCTGTAGCATAAACGCGAAATGCTGCACAAGACTAAGCCCTGTGCAATATATGAGGAATTTTGATACCATTCCAAGGCTAGTCAAGGTGCTGTTCTTCTCATGTCTTATGATGGATGATAGAAGTCTCCACAATCTCCCTTTCGGAATCTGGGTGTGTGGTTAGATTCTAACCAATCAATGAGTGATCACATAACGAAAAGAAACTCTGCAGCATTCTATTATTTGTATAATATCAAGAGGATAAGAAAGTACCTTAGCAAAAAATGTACTGAAACTCTGATACATGCCTTTATTTTTAGCCACCTTGACTATTGTAATAGCCTCTTATACGGCTTACCAGCGCATCAGATTCAAAAACTGCAAAGAGTCCAGAACTCTTCCGCACGTCTTGTATTTGAAGAAAGTATATTTTGTCATATTACACCATTACTGAGAGCCCTACACTGGTTACCCGTAGCATATCGAATTTTTTTTAAAATTTCATTGTTAACTTTTAAGGCCATTCATAAACTTGCTCTGACTTACATTTCCGATCTTGTATCTTTGAAAGACACAGGGGGAAGGTACTATCTTAGATCAAATGACGGCAAACTCCTTAACATTCCACCAAGCAAGTCTCTCTCCACGCTTGGTGATCGATCTTTTTATATGGCTGCTCCTAAATTCTGGAACGATCTTCCCCTTTAAATTAGAAATAAATCTTCAGTTAATGCTTTCAAGAAGGCTCTTAAAACTCATTTACTCCAGAAGGCGTTTCCCAGCTAATTTATTGTTTTTATTCTTTTCATAAAGAAAGATTTTTATTTAGGACTTTAAAGATTAATTAGTTATTGTAAATAAGACTTTTTGTTGAATTGGAATATGTTTAGGATTTTAAGATTTTTTTGAATCAATGTAATGCGCAGATGAAAATTTTTTTCTCTGGATTGATATTTGCGCAATACAAATCAATAAATATTATTATTATTATTATTATTATTATTATTAAGTCTCAAACCCTATTTATGTTCTACGCAAATCGCTGTGCATAGACACCTGTCACAGTACTGGCTTAATTAAAATGCGAGCGCTCAAAGTTTGAATACAGAATGCAAAAATTATGTAACTTAAATTTGTTTTTATGTCTTCAGGTAATAACCGATGTACCGGAAATGCGTGTCAATATGGTTGTCTCAACCTCGGGGGTGGATATCGATGTGGATGTCCCCCGGGATTTACGCAGGATTTTTACTTTAATCAGTGTGTGGGTAAGTTTTATCATCTGTCGCTATAAGGATCGCGATAAATCTCGTGTGCTTCTACGAAGAGCAATGAAACAGATCGACAGTTACCTCTGAAGGCGTTGTTCTGGTTTAGTCTGTTTGTTTGTCATTTGTTGCAGTTTTTTCCTTTTCATATTTTACTCTCTTTGCTTTTATTTTTCGCCATGAAACAACGACGTTTTTCCCATACCACTGAAGAAACTAATGTTTCCTTCACATTGTGCCACACTTCAGGCTTATTTGTCCGGTGGCGTTTCTCATAACTGACGGTCTCTATTTGTAGATATCAACGAGTGTCGCAGCAGCCTTACTTGTGGACGGGCGCAGTGCAGGAACACATTAGGAGCGTATTATTGCACCTGTCATCACGGATATGTGCTCAATCCAGATGGCCGATCGTGTCAAGGTAAGGTAAACGTTCGTCCTTAGCTCTATCGTGGCATTTTCAGCTGCCGTTACCTTCCTTAGTTTCAGCTCTGTTGGAATGTCGTTGATATTCAGACGCGCTATGCAGCTGCTCCTTCTTCCGTGAAGGACATCCAAATGGGGGAACAACGATCACCACATTCGTTTGCAACAACTAAGAGAAGCAATGTTAACTCTTGGTTCATATCAGAACCAACACATTATTTCAGGTTAAAATTTTGAGTGCGATATCAAAACCAGTCTGAAACACACTTAAGATTGTTCTCGCTTTGTCTCAAGAATTTTTCGGTCCACCTATTTACACTCCTTTTCGAAAACAAATTTTGGGGTCATCCTCGGTGTAAAAACCTGACGAGGTTTTCTTTGTTTCATGAGGTATTGTTTTGCTGTACGCTATTGTTTATAATGTTTTGTTATCTTTGTTTTACGTCACTCGTGAGCTTCACAGGTTTTTGCACCAAGGATGAGCCAAATTTTGGCATTCCTGGCCTAATGGGATGTAATGTTCCTGCTCCTGAATAACATCAAAAGAATTTCTAAATAAAGTGCGTTATAGCTTTTCATGGATTATTTCTTTCTTTCTCGTTCGCTTCGTCGTCTTTCGTAAAAAGGTTTAAGTTTCATTTTTTTTTTCATTTCAGATATGAACGAGTGTGCCCTGGGACTAAGCCCCTGTAGCTTTGGATGCGACAACAAGCAAGGTGGATTCAGCTGCCGGTGCCCACATAGTTATCAACCTATAGGGGGAGGGTGAGTTCACTATTTATTATCTTTTAGTGGTATGAAAAGCTTGAATGTGCTGTTTTTTGTTCTGAAAAAGAGTAGTTTTCACTTTGGTGTGTCTTCATTTCGGAAACCTGGGGAAAACTCCGGTTTTGTTCGAGCTCATCAAATCTCTCCTTCTGTTGTTTCCAGGCACTGCTTGTCGCCCTATGGAGAAGCCTGTTACGAGTGTGCGCTGTCCAAAGGGGACGACGATGACAAAGGTGTGCCTCTTGTAGAGCGAAACCAAACCGGCAGTCAGACTCAGTCTTCCGCGCCATACCATATTGTGCCAGCGAGGACTGGAAGCTATGGACAGCATCTTCCTTATGGAAGAAACCAAGGTTATGGTCAAAATCAACTAGGACAGCGTCAGATCCTACTTGGTGGTCAGTCACAAACTTACAATCAACAAAATTATGGTCAACAAAACTGGCAAGCAGCACCACCGAACAACGGCTTTCAATTTTCGCACACACCTTCAGGGAAGCAGAGGAAACGACGATCCACGGGGCATCGAATGGAAAAATTCACCATACGAATTCCCACCAACATCAGCTCAGCTGAGCCAATCCTAACGTTAGTACCAGTACTCGCGGAATTCAACGGAACCTTCAACTATGTCATTGTTCATGGTAACACGAGCTTGTTCAAAGTGCAGCAACACAAGGGAGTCTCCTTTCTCTTTGTTAAAACACCGCTCCATCGAAAGGGCGTCTTCCGTGTGTGGATTAAAGGCGCCATGCGCGAGAAAGTGAAAAAGGAAACGGTTTCCAAAGAGACGGGGACGAAAGCAACACATGGACAAGAAACAAGAAGAATTAAGAACAAACTTGGACAAGAGAGTGGAATCAAGACACAACGGCACATGCCTGGATATCACGAAGCCAAAAGGTTTTCGCTCCATCTGATCATCAAGACCGTATGAACTCATTACACTGCTTGGGCATTTTTTTAAAATGACTTTCTTTTGTTGGTAACGTGTTTTATTTTGTAAAAAGATGTTGGCCATGCATTTTGTTTTACGTTCGAAGTTATATCTAAGTCCATCTTGCACAGACATTTTTTGGGTCTATAGACAACAGCCGTAAAATTAAAAGATTTGGAGAAGTATTTAAGTGAAAGATTGTCTGCTGCAAAGGTATCGTGGAGTCCTCTTTCTTTAGTAAAGTAGCTATCCCCTTTATCTGCTTAGCTCTTTGCGCCCTAACATCAGTATGCATATTCTCTATACATTTCTCAGGGCGCTGACAAGGAGAATTTAACCAGCAATCAAAAGCTTATTTAGTTGGTGATCATTTCCGTCATTCTTGTGACCTCATTGTGGGATTCGGGGGTTATATTGCAAGAAGTAAATAAATATCTGCGAAATTCGCCCGCACCGAAATTACAATTTGGCGTCACGGTGTTGAATGATAAATGGCTTATTTGACGTTTTGTTGTGTCGTATCGCTGAAA